CTCTGAGTTTTGGGAACACGACGGTCCTGGAAACACGTACGGTCCTGGTGACTCGTTCAACAGGAACTAGTTCATCTAGAACTTATTTTTAAACTTTAATTCCCTCTTCCTGTTCAGTTGAGCCCACAGTCTCCCTCCTCCAGAGGACGCCCTCCTCCCCGGTCCGATGCCACGCTTCAGGGTTCTACCCCCCCAGCGTCCAGCTGATCTGGAGAAAAGATGGAGAGCAGATTCGTGAGATTCATGGAGAGATCCTCCCAAACGACGATGAAACCTTCCAGCTGCACGTTGATCTGGACATTTCATCCCTCAGATATGAAGACTGGCCCAGATACGACTGCTCGTTCCAGTTTTCTGGTGCTGAGGAGAAAATCGTCCTGAGACTGGATAAAACCGCGATCCACACCAACTGGAGTAAGAACCAGTGTTGCACCTTTCTCCATTATTTAAATGTCCATCTAATGAGACTCATATAATTATTGCACCCTTTATGTTTTTGTGTGATTAAATAAAGACTAAAGTCTCAGACTGTTTGTTTGTTGTCCTGAACAGAAAACACGTCTCTGATGATCGTCGCCATCGCTGTAATCCTGGCTCTGATTCTCCTCATCATCGCTGCTTTAGGATTCATCTTTTACAAAAAGAAAACAGGTAAGAAACTAAAGGAATGTAAGAAAAGAGAAAATGAAACCTCCTCAGTTCATTCCTATTTAGAATAAAAGCAAATCTGTTTTTCAGAACCACGTCCCTTACCTGGTAAGTAGAGATGAGCTCATATTAAGTAATGCTACCCTGATTCACTGATTAACATCGATGGACTAACGGATTATTTTTGGCTTTCCAGGTTATGAAAACATTCCTCTGTGAATGTCAGAAACCAGATTAACTAATAATCCCGAAGACGTCAGCAGCTTCTGCAATGCAGACATGCTTGTTTCCTGGTTTCCTGATGATGACGGTGTTCAGGAACACAAGCATCAGGATAAGGAAGAAGCTTTCTTCTATTGTGTTTTAATGTGACGCGGTTTTATGCTTCAGTGTTTCTGAGAATCTAATGAAATAAAACACTTTTAAACCACAGCTAAAAACTCATTCATCACAAAACCTGCTTTGTGTTTTCTCCTATGGGAGAAAAACTATAAATGTATTTAGTTGATACTGAAGAGGCCATTTTCATTTTAGGTACCTTTAGATTTTTTTTTTTCTAATTTTGCTTTCTGTTGTGGCATAGTCACGTCTATAGGTTTGTAATTTCTTATCAAACATGTCAGGAACAAAATATTCGTTATTACTTCAAGATTTTTAAATGTTCAACTGCATTTAACACACATACACACATATATATACACACACACACACATTTATACGCAGACATTTCTTTTTTAAAAAAGGTACTGATTTTTTTGTGCTAAACAGAAAATTAATTTTATGCATTTTGATTGAACAATAAATGTATAAAATCCTTAAATAAAAGAACATACAACAGAGCTCCTTACCAACTCATTTAATGATCACTGCCTCAAAATTCTAGATCAGGTCGCCCCTTACAAAACCAGCCGCAGTTCCAGTGCCTCCAGTTCACCCTGGCTGAACAACCAGATTCTTGACCTCAGACGCTCCTATAGAAAAGCCGAACGACGGTGGAAGAGGACAGGTTTGGTTGTTTATCGCAAATATTTTAAAGAACTTCTAGAGTCATACAACGAAGCTGCAGAAAATGCCAGGTCTTCTTTCTTCAGCAACCTCATATGTCAAAATAAGAATAATCCTAAGGTTTTGTTTGATACCATCTCCAGCATCGTGTCTTCTCCTCCGCAGCAGGCTCAGCTATCTTCAGCTGATGACTGTAACACCTTTCTCAGCTTTTTTGCCAACAAGGTGTTGAATCTGAGATCCAGTATTCCACCAGCTACCCCCCACCCCCCAGGAGGGGAGGCTCCCCAGTGCTCCGAGTCTTTCACCTCCTTCTCCCCAATTACACTAAATGACTTAGCCTCAATAATCAGTCAGATGAAACTCTCATCATGCTCTTCAGATATACTCCCTCTGTTTTAGTCGGGTCCCTTGCCTCCATCAGTCCATCTCTGTTGACTATAATCAACAGCTCACTGAGCCAAGGCTGTGTTCCATCTCACTTTAAAAATGCAGTAGTGACTCCTCTCTTAAAGAAACCCAACCTTGACGCCAGCTCCACCAGTAACTTTAGGCCCATTTCTAAGCTACCTTTCATCAGCAAAGTACTTGAGAAGGTTGTTGAAACCCAACTCAGATCCTGGTTTTCCAAGTCAAAGATCTCTGACCCCTTCCAATCTGGCTGTCTGAAGCAACACTCAACCGAGACTGCTCTAGTAAGGGTGCATAATGACCTCCTGATGGCTGCTGATGCTGGGAAATGCTCTGTCATGGTCCTGCTTGACCTCAGTGCAGCTTTTGACACTGTAGACCACAACGTTCTACTAAACAGGTTAAATGCCCTGGCTGGGATTTCAGGTTCTGTTCTAGACTGGCTCTCTTCCTATCTCACTAACAGAACATTCACAGTGAAGTCAGAAACCTTCTCTTCAGACACTGCCTCTCTAACATGCGGGGTCCCACAAGGTTCAGTTCTAGGGCCTCTACTATTCGCATTCTATATTCTTCCTCTAGCTGGCATCATTCAATCTTTCCCAGCCATCTCCTACCACATCTACGCTGATGATATTCAGCTCTATATGTCCTTCATGCCACACCAGTTGGACAGGCTGGCCACCCTTGTACTCTGCCTGACCCAGATCAGTAACTGTCTGTCCAGCAACTTTCTTGTCCTCAATGCTAACAAGACAGAGACCCTGATCGCTGCACCCCCGGAACTTCAGCCAAAAATCGAGCAGGTAATTGCCTCCTTTTGCCCATCAGCCAAGGCCAACATTAGAAACCTAGGGGTTATTTTTGATCCAGCTTTAAGTTTAGACTCACACGTCAAAACCATCTCCCGTTCTTGTCTCTTCCAACTGAGAAACATTTCGAAAGTCCGTAAACTGGTTTCTACTGCAGATCTGGAAAAAATCATCCATGCCTTTGTGTCATCACGCTTAGACTACTGCAACGCTCTTTTTACTGGTTTCAGCAAAACCTCCCTCTCACGCCTTCAAGCCATCCAAAATGCAGCAGCCAGACTCCTAACCAAATCCAGCAGACGAGCTCACATCACCCCAGTTTTACAGTCCCTCCACTGGCTCCCGGTAGAATTTAGAATACAGTTTAAAGTTTTAGTCCTGACCTATAGAGCTCTTAACAACCAGGCTCCAAGCTACCTATCTGAGCTTTTATCCCCACACACCACATCACGGAACCTCCGATCCACATCTGAAAACCTCCTGGCTGTTCCTCGAACCAGACTAAAAACCAAAGGGGACAGGGCCTTTCAGTCTATTGCCCCCAGACTTTGGAACAGTCTGCCTTCAAATCTCCGTCTCTTGAAATCTGTAGAGGTCTTCAAAAAACATCTTAAAACTCACCTATTCATCCAGGCTTTCCCACGCTAAATATTCTAAAAGATGGCTTTGTTCTTGTTCACACCTTGACTTTGTTTTTATTCCTGATTTTGGTTACTATTGTTGTCACTGCTATTGTTTTTATGATGTTTTTATTGGTTTGAGGTATTTGCCCTGATTTTATTCATGTTGTGCAGCGCTTTGTGATTTATATCTGTAAAAGGCGCTATATAAATAAACTTTACTTACTTACTTACAAATACACCAAAAATAACCAGTAAATAATTAGCCAAAAAGTGACTCAATTAATCTGATGTCACCTATAATCTCCATTCAGGATCTAGATCATCGTGTTTTTAAATTGTCTCTGAAGAAATTTAATTCTTAATAAAAGTTGCTTTAAATTTCCTCATTTAAACTTTGACACATTTTGGCTGTGATTGTGAGACTCACAAGTTAGTTGAGCGACTTGACTTGAATTAGTGTGACGTTTATTCCCAGATATTTTTTTTATCGTGTTGATGTTTTTTCTCCACTTTTAATCTCGTTACGTCAGCCATTTTGGGCTACATGATTGCATATGGCGAACATACACAACATAGATTGCGCATGCGCACAATAAAGGACAGCGTTAATTTCGACGGACCAGACTCTTATCAGAAGACCGCGACATTAGTAAGTTTAGATCTACTTTCTATTTTATTTACAGTCTATGATTTAGACATTAGCCAGCATGTTGACATGTTGGTACGCCTAGCGTTAACTACTATTGCTTTTCAAAATCTTTTTATGGAGGAGGTAAAATGGCGCCTGGTGTCCGAGGTTGACTCCTACAGGCCGCTGTTGCAGGTAAGGGACTGTAATAATTATTTATTGTTTGACGTGCTTTTCTTACTTTTGAATGACTTAAGCAACTGTATGAATCAATAAATAAGTGGCTAATTAAGTTTAATTAGGTTTACAACCTGAGGGTGCATTCCAGCTTCGCTTAATTAGCTAAAGTTTTCATGGACGGACGGTTATTTAATTTAAAGGTGGTTAAATTGGCAATAAAAATAAATAAATAGGCGAGGAATGTTTGAATGGAGCTAAAGTTAGCTGGAGTGGAAGTGGTGATGAATGCATCGTCATAAAAAATAGGACAGTTTTTTTTTCGATACGGTTCCTTGTATTTATTTTAATATTTTTATTTAACCAAACATAACATTTTCTTTCCCCCAGCGCGTTTATACATGAAGCCCAGTACAGTTTTATTAAATTTCATAGATTGCGTGAGAATGGGCAAGGCAGTTTTATTAATGTAGCACGTTTCAAACACGGGGCAATTCAGTGTGCTTAATAATAAAGAGTATAGTTTGCATAGTAAACGCTTGAAGCTTATTTTAAAATAAATGTGAAGAAAAGTTGTATTTATTTATTATTTTTGCCGCTTTGGGCTGTTTTGTTTCTTATTGGACCAAAGTGTGCCACGTGACCCGGAAGCAAAGCCGTGGGTTTTTTTTTTCTCTCAGCTTAACTTTTTATCCAGTTTACATCCGCACAGCGTCGTGGCGTGTCTCGATCGCGTAACGCTGCTACGACGGCGTTAACGTGGTCTCTGGTTTCGTTATGAGTTTAAATGTAATGATGTATTTTTAACCGTGAGTCAGAATGACAATGAGCGGAACGGCGTCCTGTCCTCAGCCCTTTTGTGGTATCGCTTCTCGGCCTTTTGGCTAAGATCAAGTGTAGTATCTGTTCTTATCAGTTTAATATCTGATACGTCCCCTATCCGGGGACCATATATTAAATTGATTTTTGGAGCAGGGAGATGGAATAGGGGCTTGCTCCGTCCACTCCACGCATCGACCTGGTATTGCAGTACCTCCAGGAACGGTGCACCCCCTCTTTATGTGAAATGAAATAAAGTACGTGTATTTCTGAAGTGAGATCACCGTAAAGCCGCATTATTGTTATATTGTATGTTACCATAACAGCTATAAGTGTAAGAGGGATCAAAGGAAAAATAAGAGCTAAGGCTATATTATCTTATTTGGAAGGAAACATTTCCGAAATCTTTCTACAAAAATTTGCAATCCCGTTCCAGGAAAAGTACACCCAATGGCAGGAAAATAAATGTGGCCAAAAACATTTATATGGAGTGGGTTCAATGAAAATAAAAACGAAGAGGTAGGGATTTTAATAAAGAACTCTGAAATCAAAGTAAAGGACAGTAGGGTTTTAAAGGAAGGTGGAGCACTTTTAGTAGTACTATCCTATAGAGGAACAACTTTTAACATTTTAAATATTTACGCTCCAAACGAGAAACATGAAAGATATGAACTGTTGGAAGCAATACGACCCCACCTTACTGGGAGTACACCAATAGTTTGGGGAGGGACTTTAACTGTATTTTACCTAGGAAGGATAGGGCTGAGGGGACAAGAAGGATACAAGTAGACACAACGTTTCTACTCTTACAACATATTGTGAGAGATTTCAAAATGGTTGACTGTTATAGAGCGCTGAAAACAGACAAATAAGTCCATACGTGGATATGTGGGGATGGGGAAAAGACATCGAGAATAGACTTCATGTTCACAAGGGATATGAAACCGCTTGAAACGCAAGTCATTCCAACCTTTTTCTCCGATCGCTCAATGTTAAGAGGGAAATTAGAAATCGGAGGGAAAGACAGAAAAGGAAATGGTTTGTGAAGATTAAACTGCCTGCTACTGGAAGAAAAAGATATAATAGCTAATTTTAAAGAAAGATATAATAACTGGCAAACGTTTTATTCGAAACCAAGGCCAAATGGTGGGAATGGGTGAAACAGAAAACAAAGGAATTCTTTATACTGGCAGGGAAAAGCAAAAAGGCTAAGGAAAACAGGAAAATGATGGGATTACAAAAAAGAATGCAAATGTACCACCTGTTGAACCAACAAGGTTTCAATTTCCATTCTGAAACAAGAGAAATAAAAAATAATAATAAAAATAATGATTCAGTCCGAGCAGCTGGATGTAAATGGCATCCAACATGGAGGAAGATGAATCGTAGGACAGCAGCAGATATTTGTCTTTTACTGTAGCACATTCCATCATGAGAGCGAGATCTTTTTACTGAAGCTCCTGGAGCAAGGAGGGAGTCATTAGGTGATGGAGATGAGGAGGAAGAAGACTGATGATGATTTAGATGTCATGAATTACACAATTTTTGCTTAATTTTTTTCGTATTGTCCATTTAATTTCAGTTACCACCAGTAAAGCAAATTAAGACACCTTGGAGAAATTCTTTGAAGAGGACAACCAGCTGCAGACATTCCAACAACAGCCTGTTCTTTCCTGGCCCAGGATCAGGAGATCAAGCTGTCCAGCAGCCTGACCTCCATCCCCTACAAGGAGAACACCACCCTATGGTGGTGGAGCAGAAGACACTCTGCTCCTGCTGTCAGGACTGGCTCAAGGCATTCCGTGTGAGCAGGCATCCTCCACCGTCTGAGAGTGAGTTCTCCACAGCTGGAGACCAAAGAAGTCCAGAAATACAAATAGAAAAAATGCTGGAAGTGCTGCAGAGGTGTGAGAAATCTTATCTGGTGCTCTTCAGCCAAGGGATCCACATAAATGTTGGCAAGAGGAGGTCTGAGGCACTCAGGAGATACAAAAATAAAAAGCCTTTATTAGTACATGGCTTAAATTGTTAAAAACATCAATGCCAACGCGTTTCAGCCCACAGGGCCTTCGTCAGGGCTCAAAATGTTTGTATGCTCACTCACTCCCATGTTAAAAAGGCCAATCAATGACACCTGCCGAAGCTGGGCAGGTAGACAGCATTCTGATTGGATGACGAGTACAACACAGAAAACTTTTTACATCTAAACAATCCTGTTGTAAGGATGAATACTTACAAATATTGAATTTTACTTATAGAATTTGAGAAAAAATTATAAATATGGTAAACAAATTGTAAGAAAACATGAGATAAGGAGCTAAATCTAATTCTCCATTAAGACCTGGGAAATTAGTAGCTTTTAGTGTGTAAATCCAAAATGATTCTCTTTTTAAAAAACTTGCAAAGAGAATCATTTTGGATTTACACACTAAAAGCTACTAATTTCCCAGGTCTTAATGGAGAATTAGATTTAGCTCCTTATTTATAATCTCATGTTTTCTTACAATTTGTGTACCATATTCATAAGTCCAGAAACATTTTGTATGCTTCCTGAAAAGCGCTCTCCCCTGACGACTTGTACGAAAGATATGTTATTAAACATGACTTATTCTATAATCAGGTCGATGTTCAGATCAGTCAGTGCAATTGATTATTGTGACATATTAATAAGTACAGAATGTATTAATGACCTAATTAATCAGGATAGGAAGAGATTTTCCAGGCTGGTACATTGAACTAACAGACGAATGCTCAACTCTAGTTAACTTACATCTAAAATAATAACATGATGTAATTCATTCTGAGTCAGAAAAAGGAACCTCATTTTGCCCGCAGCCAATCAGGAAGAAGAACCGTCTGTAGACATTGCACGACTGCATGATTTCTTTAATAAGGATGTGGTGTTGACGAAGGCTAGTGGTCTGGGGAGACGATGATTTTTTAATCGGCTCGTTTAAAAACAAGACTTTTCCAAAATGATGGAACATTCTTCAGCTGTGGGCTTCAAATCCTGCCTTTGATTCAAAGCTTATCTTACTTTATGGAGAGCGTTTATTTTATTTTAAGCGCTTGGATCTCTCTCAAAACATCGTGTTGACACAAATCTGCTGTATTTTCCCTCAGACTCATCTGTAAGTTTATATAAAACCATACAAACAACATGTGTATGTTTATTTATGTGGCAGATGCTTTTATTCAAGGCGATGTACAATAGTTAACCTATAGGGCATGTTGTGATCTGTGGGGGAACCGGAGTACCCTGAGGAAACCCACGCATGCTTATTTGTATAAGACCGCATCCGGGTTTCAAACCTGCAACCTTCTTGCTGCGAGGCAACAGTGCCAACAACTGCGCCACCATGCAGCCCTGTACTTTTTCAGCGTGACTCTGTAATTTAAGTCTAGCAGACACATCAGGACGCTCGCTGTCCTGCTACAGATACTTTATTAAAAAGTGGAAACAGCAAATATTTAAACATTTAAATGATAGTAACAAGCTTTAACTGTGTAAAAAAATACAAAAGGAACGTCACAGCTGGCAAACGGCATCAATTAGTGCAAAAAATACTAAAGTCACAAGTTTTATCTCGTGTACAAAATGAAATAGAAACCACAGCTGCAGTTCTGCGTCGGTGCAAATCAAACGAGCTCCAACCTGCTGTGCAGGGCCATCGTGTTGAACCAAACCCAACAAAAACTAAACAGCAGCATCTTTGGAGTCAACAGCCAACTTAAAGTCCTCAAAACGTTCAAACTTGATGCCCGTGAGACCTTTTGATGTGGACATCTTTTTTACAGGGCAGAAGGCCTTGTTTTTGTATTTGTTGTGTCCCTGGGTCATCTGTCCACAGATCGTGCAAACAGGGTTGTTTTGCACCCTGGATTTTTTTCCCCCCACCAAGAAGGAAAGCCCCTGTTGTTTCCGTTTGTAAAGCGTGGCCCTGGACCACGATGGGGATGGAGACGAGGTAGCCGTGGCCCCAGGAGGCTGGGAAGACACAGAGCTGGACTGAACAGGGGTCACCTTAGGCAGAATGGGCCTGACTGCGTGCCCAGGGGATTTAGAGACTAGAGAGGCGGAGGAGGCCACAACGGGTTCACATCTCATAGGAGTCTGTGATCCAGGCTGTGGCTGGGGAGCAGACCGGGAGACGGGCATCACGAGGTCTGTCCTCTTCGAGTCCTTGGTCCCTGCTGTGCTCTCTGTGAATTTAAAGTCAGTCACAGGGTAACTTGGCGGAGGGAGGACAGCAGGCTGAAGAGGTGTTGGAGGAACGTCAGCCGCTGAGATGGATGTCAGCTTGGTGACTGGCTGTCTGGTGGCGTGGAAGCTCAGTGCGGGTCCAGATGTTGACGGGATCTGAGCCCTGTGGTGCAGCACATTCTGGGCCTCTGCCAGGAGAAAGACCTGGCGAAGGAGCTGTGCTGAGGGCAGCTCTCTGGCAGGAGGCGGGCGCTCAAACTTGTGGCGGAAAGCAGAAGCGACCCCCCCAGGCTTCACTAATGTCATCAAGAGCGTGGTATACAGATCTATACGGTGAAGATGCTCGTCCGTGTGGAATTCTTGGATTAGGCTCCACACCTTGACCATGGCGTTGTCCTTGGTTCTGTCACGGAAAAGCCGCACTACGTTCTTATCCACCCCGCACCTGTTAGAGTAAAAATGTTCAGTTTCCTTTCAGACAGACCTTACTAGCAGAACTACCAGGTGGAGACCAGACTCACTCGCTCGTGAGCACAGCAGGAAACAAAGCTTGGTGAGCCTCGCTAAGCTGGGACACAACAGCAGGGTCCCACGCAGGCCACCGTCCCACGGTGCCTCCTCCTCCAGCTCCGGCAGCCTTGGTGCACGGCCCGCAGCACAGCACTTCAGTCAGCAGCGTGTACCAGCTGGACACGTCACAGATGTGGCGTACCTGTGGGACAGATGAGATTCCTTGTGAAAAAGTTGTTTCATACTTTGTTTTACGTGCAAATAGGGCTGGGCGATGTGACGATTTTAGACCGTTTTACGATCTACGCATCTGACGGTCTGTCATTTTTGAGAGACCTTTTTATCACGATTCACAGCTCTGCTGTTGAATTTCTGCCTCTGAATGAAAAGGGAACTTACCTCCGGCGGATGACACGCCTTTGTTTGACCCTTAACCAATCAGAGTGAGTCGTAGTAATATATTAGTGCCCCACTTGTTTTCACCTGTGTGTGAACAAACATGGCTTCGGCCGCGGCTGAGAGCGACAACGAGGTTTTCGTTCCGAAGAGGAACGCCTCGTCCGTTATATGGAACTGGTTTGGCTTTTCACCAGATGACAAAGCGCAACGAAACGTCATTTACAAAGTTTGCAAGGAGAGCGTCAAGGCAAGTGATGGCAACACCACAAACTTGTTTAATCACTTGAAAAGAAGCCATCCCAAACAATACAATGAGAGCCAGCTGGCAGCTAAAGCTAAAAAGCCTGCGGCTGCAGCGGCTAGTGCTTCTTCCAGGCAGCAAACGCTAACAAACACTCACAAAACTCCCTACGACAGAGACAGCAGACGATGGAACAGCGTGACAGATGCAGTGACGTACCACTTGGTTAAAGATTTGTGTCCCGTGTGAACAGTAGGAGCGGGATTTAAGAAAACGATAAAAACGTTGGATCCGCGCTACGAGTTTTCCAGCCGCAAGTATTTTTCGAACACCGCCATTCCACGCATGTACGCTGAATGCAAAGTGAGAATTTGCAGAAAATATTCAGAATGCGCAGTTTTTTGCTACCACCAGGGTATCTGCAGGTTGAAGGGAGCCAAATTTAAGACTTTTTTAAGACTTTTTTTAAGGCCACTTTGACCAAATTTAAGCTATTTTTTAAATTAAATTTAAGCTATGATTTCCAGCTATTGCCTGGAACCGGTGCTAACCACGTCGTGAACGTGGGATTAGCCATCCAGTTACTATTAATGTTGCCCTTCCCCATGGCGCAAACTCCCACTAGCGTGCTCATCTAAAAATAGCCCCCTTTCACAAACCAACCGAATGTGTACGGTTCCGCTTACGCCAACATCGTACACAAAAAATGCTGAACTAACTAGAAATTCACGAAAATTTTATAGAAATAAAAGAATCTTGTTTATTGGGCCTTTGGTCATTTAAGACCTTTGGAAATTATTTAAGGATTATTTGTCATTTTTAAGGATTTTTAAGGCCTTAAATTTGGAAAAGCAAATTTAAGACTTTTTAAGGACCCGCGGATACCCTGTACCACAAGCGATCTCTGGTCCAGCCGCACATCAGAGCCGTATTTGAGCTTAACTATCCACTACATGAGCAACTGGGAGCTACATAGTATTTTGAACAAGTTAATGTTTGCACAATACGTTTGCAATTGACATGTTTGAATTTAAATATGTTTACGATTTTAATTTATGTTAAGTTACTTGAAAAAGGAGAAAAACTGATTTTTGTAATAGTTTCTCTCAGGGCTTTTATCATCTCTGGTGTGAGTTTAAAATATAAGTGTGTTAGCACTGTGTTGATTATCCCTAATATGAATAAATGTTTGTTTATTCAATGTTTCTCTTCTTTAATACGCAATTGAAGTTAAGCTATTCATGGATTAAAAAATCATGATAAAATCGAAATCGTGATAAAATATTGGAAAAATCGTGATATTCTATTTTTGCCACATCGCCCGGCCCTACGTGCAAAGTCGTATATATTCTGTTAATATCTGGTGAGACAAACCTGGTGATGGAAGCCAGATTGGTACAGGTACACATCGTGTCCTTTCCCCGCGCACTCATCTCCACGCGGACACTTCAGGGAGCATCTCCAGACCCCAACAGGTCTCCAAACAAACACCCTGCTGCGGAAAAAGAGCTGAGGTCCAGGGACAGCTCCTCCAACGAAGCCCGGTGGTTCTGGAGGGTAGAACCACATGCAGTCTGATCTAATACCCCGGCGATGCTTGAGGAAACCGTTTTCATCCCTGTAGACGGGAGCGGGCGTGTAGAGGCCTCGTTCCTGGTCCTCCCTAAGCCACGTCTGGTCAGCCAACGGGATACCCCCCTCATCTTGCCAGGCTTTAACCCAGTCAAGCTCCCCCTGCAACACAGGGACTTTAAACTGCCTCATCGCTGACATGTGGGACACAAATAACCCCGATGATTCTGGTTTTGCTTACATCAGAAGATGTAGGATGCTGGGGTGGGACGTCTGCGTCTTGCTGCTGTCGGAAAGTGTCCTCGTCTGGATTTAATGTGCTGCTGTTTTGCTGCCTCGTCCCAGACGGTAGGAGCAGCTTGGATTCAGCAATGTGTGGGTCCAACACAGCAGCAGAACATCCAGCAGCGGACGCGAGACCAGGAGGACCAGCAGGAGCAGAGGGGCCAGGAGGACCTGCAGCAGCTGTAGAAGCAGGAGCAGCAACAGTCTTCAGCAGCTTCCTGGTCTCTGCGTCTCCTGTTACTGGGCGCTCTGAGGTGAGGGAGTCTAAAAGACCACAACAGCTTTGCAATGTGCATCGCTTAAACTCAGTGTGACCCATTTTTCTCTGCCTCTTACCTTCCACAGAAGCAGCCACCTGTTCTGCATCATCATCATCATCCAGCGACGACAGAGGGTCTCTCTGGGAGGAGCTCGATTCTTCCTGCTGAGGAAACGGGAAAAGCATCAATTAAAATTGTGTTAAATGATGTTTTTTCTTGTCTAACATTTATGGCGGCTTTCATCACAGCTCTCACTTGTTTCCTGTCATGGACGTACTTCCTGAACCTCCTCATCTGCACACTTGTGGAACGAGTCACCGGCGTGTTCAGCCATCTCGTCACAGACGTGTGAGCTCTCTGGATCGTCTCCTTCTGCTCCTGAGTGAAACGCTCCGGTTCCCGTTTCTGGATGGAGAAGCTGCTGTAGAGGTCCCACATCTCCTCAAAGGTGTGATGCTCAAACCCCGTCTGACCGTGGATGCAGCGGTCGACGTTGGCCTCCAGCGTGTCGGGCGCTTGAGGGAAGCTCTCTGCGTACTCGGTCAGAAAGTCTTTCACCCACTGGTTCACGGCGTCTCCTTTCTGTGCACAGAAACTTGTTTAGATCCCGTTTCTTTAAACCAACTGAGGCGGTCGGTAAGTCATGCATAAGGAAAATGCTTCTGATTCATCAAGTGTTTAACAAATAAAACATTTCCTTTGATAAGTTATCCAACAGGCTCGTGGCTCAATGGATGCAGGGATTCAGCTGCACCAGTGGATCCATGAGCCTGTTAGACAACAGATGATATGAGCACCTGATGATGAACTAAGATGCATTTATGTCATGCATGACCTAAATATGGTGACATAAATTCATTTAAAGCAGAATGATGAATAAATTCTAGTAGAACATGTTTTCAGCAGCAGCAGCTTTCCAACACAAACTGCAAACGCCAATGGAGTGATTACGTGTTTTTAATATTACCAATCCTAGTAGAAATACTAGTATTAATACCACTAGAACAACAGATTGCTCGTAGATTTAAACGGTTGAAAATTATAATACAGTTTTAATCCAAACCTTTAAAATGTTTGGTTTTCTGGCCCCTCCCACTTGCTTCGTCACCATTGCTGTGATTTTATGTTTAAAGTAGTAAACACACTAAATAAACGCCTCTACCACAATGACACTGAGCTCGGATAAACGACGAACTTACCTTTTTAAACACGAACTGGTGAAGTTTAGGCTTCTCGCAGGTAAAGACGTCCACAACTCCGATCTCTAGCTGAAAGTTTGTTTTGACCCCGAAGCGGACCACGTGGTCTGGAGAGAGGCGAAGCAGCCCCACGCGACCGGAAGCGCATAAGTCCAGATCGTAGAAAATACCACACCTATATAATGTTTGTGGGACAGATTCCTACATTGTGTGATTTGGAGAGCTCAGCGCGGTGCGTTTACCACGGATGTCTACAGCCGACTGTTCAGTTTCCTGATTGGCTGTTAAACACACAAACAGTCGACTGTAGACAGTTTGGGCTTTCTGATTGGCTAGTCTACATTCGACTCCAGACACCTCCGTTTCCTGATTGGCTGGTCTAAGGACATTATAGACAGTGTCCTGTTGGCTGGGAGTGAAATGACGTTCCGTGTTCTGATTGGCCACACCAGATCACATATATTAAAATAATTTATTTGATATTTTATGACAATGTAAAACTGCTAAAATGGCAGAACCTGTGGTGCAATGCAACATTTAAAATAAAAGTTAAGAGTCTTTATTTTAAACATACAAGTCCATAGCAGTATGTTATAAAATAGGAGAAAAATGCTTCAGATAAATAAAAAATAACTATTCATTGCATAAGTATAAGTGATATATAATCTTTCTCATATGGAAGATTGTATTTTTTTTTATAATAAAAATGTTGCATCGTGATTTGTTTTCTACAAAATTGGCCACCGTTTTTTTGACAACTCCCTTACAATCTGCCACATTTTAGGGACTCACCTGAAAACGATGCAGTTTAAATTGACCCTGAACATGGTACGGTATGGCACTGATTACAACTGTTAGTGAACTGGTCCGAGGAGTCACCAGCAGCTGCATAAAGAACACATCTTTAGACATTTACAAGTGAGTTAAACTTCAATTATTTAAAAATATCTGAACATCCAAAATAAAATCTTGTGCCAATAAAAAACCTACAACCTAAATAGTTAAGCTGCTGGGTTCTTCACTGTAACAGTTTTATATTTAAACAAAGTTAGCACACATGTTGTTTATGTGTTCAGTTAACTAATACATCCAGCATGCATTCAGGTGCTCTTCTGTTTCAGACGGAGAGGACTTTAGAGAAGAGCAGCAAGGAGGCTAAGGAGGACTGGGAGGATGGACTGGGCGATGTGGCCTAAACTTTACATCACCTGAAGCATGCGGTGATGATATTTATCACCTTATTTTATTTTCTTCTGTTTAGGATTTTGAACATTCTCACAAACCAGATCAGCAGAACAAATACTTCTAAAGCACATAGGATGCCATTTAAAGAACATTTAACGTGAAAATCTTTGGATTTGAACTCACCAGATGAACCGTTGGCAGAGGAAGAAGAGAATGGTTTTGATCGCTGTGGCATGAGGGTTTTTGATTAGTGATTAATTGAACAACAGTGTAAAAACTGATCAATAATATTGTAACTATGGCAACAAGGTCTGAGGAGAGGCTTACTGAGATGGTGAGTTTGTACTCCAGGGAGTGTGAGAGGTGAGGGTGAGACCGAGTAGTAGCAGGAGATGCTTGGTGCAGGTACAGAGGATGATGATGATGAAGATGGCGAAGGTAAAGATATTTCAGCAGGTGAGTGACAGGTTAGTGTGGATATGTTGTGGATGTAGAATGGCGGCGGAAGGATTTGGTGACAGAGAGCGAGCCGAAGCAGTCGTGGAAAGCTGAAGAAAGCTTGGGTATGATGGAGAGGAAGACAAAGAACCTGAAGAGACTTGAAGGAACGGCCCTGAAGAAAATCAACAGGTGAGTAAAAACAAGATGAAATCATTTTTAAAGATTACCAACTAAACTTGAATAGGAGGCTGGAGGTTGCCACAAACTCTTTCAGACATCTGTGATCCTTTTATCCTCCTACGTGATGCAGGACACGCCTGCTGTCACCTCCAGACAAGGAAGAGCAGGTGTGCATCTCCTCCGGGACCATCCAGCCAGCAGAGTGAGTTAAAAACAGAATCCACACAACCCAGCCATGATGTGCAAATATTAAACATCATACAAACAAGTATTTCAATGTGGTATTTGTAGCCCTGCAGTGGTTTCCACAAACATTTTCACTGTTGGGTTGTCCCGTTGACCTTTTCGTACTATAATGTTTCTAGTTAGGATGCTGCCTGGACACCTCCCTGGTGAGGTTTTTCAGGCCTGTCAAACTGGGAGAAGACCCAATGGAAGACCCAGAACATGCTGGAGGGACTATTCCCAGCTGGCCAGGGAACGCTTTGGGATTTCCTCCGAGGAATCTGAAGAGTTAACGGTCTGCTCTGCTTGTGTTCTCAATAAAGAGATCTGACCACAGGAACAAGCATCAGCCTCAACTTGTAATTTTCCCTGAATAGGTGGCCCACATGACCTGAACACATAAAAAATATGCAACATCTGATGTTTCAAAAGCTATACGATCTCAACAATAACAATTTATGACATTGAATCCACATAAACATGCTGAACACAAGTCATGTTAACAATCAATCAGATCAATAAAGCTTTATTTATATAGCGCCTTCTGCAACCCTGTCGGGTAGCCCAAGGCGCTGAACATAGTACATGACAAAGTTAAATATGGTGAATAAATCGAAAATAAAAGCAGTTCAAATTACAAAAAAAGGTAAAACATTCCAGTAGAAGACAAATGGGTAAAACAAGGGATAGAGTGAACCAATGAAAACAGGGAAATAAAATCAACATTAAAGATGGCCAAATTCAAACATGTTCAGGAAACACCAAGCAGAGGAGGTGGGTTTTTAGGTGACTCTTAAAGACTGGCAGAGATGGGGACAGCCTAATTGAGGGTGGCAACTGGTTCCAGAGTGACGGTGCTAGGACTGAGAAAGCCCGGTCCCCGCGAGTACGACACCTCGAACGAGGGACAGCGAGCAGGCCTTGGTCAGAGGAGCGCAGAGCGCGTGATGGGGAGTGTTTGTTCAGGAGAGTGGCTAGATAGGGGGGAGCACTACTCTGGAAGAAATTGTACACAAAGACGAGGAGTTTGAAGTGTGAATGATAAAAAACCGGAAGCCAGTGCAGGGAGGTCAGAACCGGACTGATGTGGTCCCGTTTCCTGGTCCCAGTCAGGAACCTGGCTGCGCTGTTCTGCACAACCTGTAGGCGACGCAGTGATGACTGACACAACCCTGCATAGAGAGAGTTGCAGTAATCAAGCCTAGAAATTACAAATGCATGCAGTATCCGCTCCAGGTGGGCTCTTGACAGCATAGGCTTGATTTTTGCAAGGCGTCTCAGGTGAAAGAAACTGGACCGGATCACAGAGTTGATGTGGGCATCAAATTTAAGTCCAGCATCAACTTTCACCCCCAAACTGGTGACGACTGGTTTTGAGTAGGGAGAAAGAGGGCCAAGATCAACATGACGATCCACATTCCTGCTGTTGGGGGTGAAAAACAATGAGCTCTGTCTTTCCCTCATTCAGATGCAGACAGTTGGCCATTAACCAAGACTTCACCTCATTAAGACAGGACACAAAGGACTGGATGGAGTGTCCTTTCTCCTGACACAATGGAGAGTAAATCTGGCAATCGTCAGCATACAGATGGAATGATAGGCCATGTTTACGAATGATTGACCCCAGAGGAAGCAGATAGATGGTAAACAAAAGCGGACCAAGGATCGATCCCTGCGGGAGCCCCAGCTGAGCCCCTCCCAAGAAGAAAAAACATCACCCAGTTTAACACAGAATGTCCTGTTGCGGAGATACGATCTAAACCAGTCCAGAGCAGACCCTTTGATCCCAACCCATCGTTCCAATCGATCAAGTAGAATCGCGTGGTCAACTGTATCGAAGGCTGCCGTCAGGTCTAACAACAGAAGCACCACAGATGTACCCTGATCTAGTGATACATAGATATCATTTAACACTAGAAGTCCCAGAGAAGGGTCATTTAAGATTTCTACCTTTGGAACCCAGAGATGGGTCGAGTGACCTGAAGGATTTTAGCTAACATTGTGTAATGAGTTGTGAACAGCCACTTTTGTTTTGTCAGTAAGGTTTTCCAGGTCCAGCTGTGAGCAAAGACCAGAAGCATTTGTGTCTAAGTCAAGAGGACTGAAATTTCAGCATGAGAAATATACAAAAGAACAACTGTTATTTGTTTCCATGCTTTTTATTTTTGTCATAAAAATGATACAAAAAATACAAGGAATAAAACAATTTCACACATATTTACACTAAGCTGCAGTGTGTGTGTGTGTGTGTGTGTGTGTGTGTGTGTGTGTGTGTCATCAGCACTCACTCAGCAGTCCGTCTGCACTGTCGGAACATGCCTGGCACTGCCAGGGTATGACTCTGGTACATTTGCCACATGTATATTTGTAGCAGCCAACACATCTCACAGTTGCACAATTGTTTGTGCAACGATGGTTGACCTGACACTTTGCCCTTTTGCCAGGGCTGGGTGTGGAAGGTTTTTGCAGAAGCAGTTTCTCCTTGCGTGCCTTCTTCTCACTCACATGACCATCACCCAACTCTTGTGCAAGCTCAACCAGGAAGTCCACCCGTCTCTCCTGCACCCCAATGCATGCCTGATAAAGCACATGTGCATTCAGTGCTGCCATGTCAATCATGTTGTAGAACACGGCGACTGGCCATCTCCGTGTACCTGCATGCATGCTGTACTCCCGCACCATTTGGTCCATCACATCCACACCGCACTTTGTGCTGTTATATTGTGTGACCGTGTTTGGCTTCCTTTTGGTGGTATCTTCAGTCTCAACCTTGCTGTGCAAGCTGCTGAGAACGTATACAGCCTTCTTCCGTTTGGGCGCATGCACTGTCAGTGTGGCACCAGTGGTTGAAAACACCTGAGTGGTGAATTCAGTGCGGTCCATCTGTCTAGCGGATTGAGGAATTTCCTGGCGACTTTTGCTGACTGTGCCGAGGATAGTGGTTTTCCGGCTGAGCAGTCGTTGCGCAAGTGACAGTGATGTAAAGAAATTGTCCGTGGTTACAGTTCTGCCCTTGTCCATGAATGGTTCCATTAGCCTCATCACTACACTCTCAGACAGTATCTCCCCACTGGGACGACTAGGGTCCTTGCCAAGATATGGGAGGACATTGCAGATGTACTTTGATTTCAAGTCGCAAGCCACCCAAAACTTGATGCCAAACTTGTCCGGTTTTGTTGCAATGTATTGTAGGAAACAGCAGCGAGTCTTTGACGGGAAAAGCTGTTCATCAATAGTGATGTGTTGACCAGGGTTGTAGGATGCGATGCAGTTGGTGACAAACGATCCCCTGTTCACACGCAGTGAGCGAGCGGAGACCAATACGTTTGCTGCAATCTCCGATGTGTGGTGTCATCAAAGCGAAAGTGTCGCATGATGTCTTGGAAGCGGTTTTGGGCCATAGTTGCAATGATCCTTGGGTTTGCCAGGTTTGCTGACCAGCTGTCACGTAGTGATGGAACCTTGGCCACCCCCCGCAAGATAATGACTGCAATAAATGCCATTAGTTCAGGGAGATCCAAGAACCAGTCCACCTGCTCCGTGTGACGTGCATGCTGAGTAGTCCATTCTTGAATGGTTCGAAGCATGTCAAGAGTGATAAAACAGAGGAAGCTCTGAAGTCGACTCCGGATACATCGTTTGGCCTTAGCCATTGGCTCTCCAGCTGTGGCGTAAGGTTCTATTGGAGTGATATGGAGACATGTCCCCACTTGTTTTTCACACCACACAGTGCCATCTTTTGAGGTCTCTGTCAGCTCACTCCCCAACCGAGCTCTCTTTTTTGGTAGAGGAGTCTCCTCATCTGCAAGATAAACAATTTTAAATTAACTTTTTGTTTGGTTCTAAATAAAAAGAGATAGGCAGGAAATGAAAATAGCTAGTTTGAAAAATCTAACCTGAAGACAGCTCAGAGTCCGAATCTGGTTGAAGGACTATGTCTTCTCCATCTGAGTCACGCGGGTTGGCCTTGCTCACGATCAGTTCCAATGCCTGTTGAGTGGTTAGCCTCTGCATTTTCTTTCTTGTCAACAAAATAGGTGAACTAGTCACCTTTTTATCCTCCACAGCACAAAAGGCTGCATGCAAATTTCTGTAGCTGTTGCAGGACGGCCCTGCAAAAAATGCAGCTGGGGGATGGGCAGACACTCTCAGGAGCAGCTTACACTCAGTCATTTTGAACCAAACTTTTGAACAAGTTTAAGTTGATTTACAGTTTTTTTCAATTATTTTGGCTAATTTCTCGAAACTGAGATGACACTCTCAAAATTCAAGGTGTATTTGTCAAAATCCTCTATATGTGAAGCACCATGGAACCGCAGCAAAATGTCTACCAAAACAGGTCACTCATGTTTAAAAAGTGAAAACTTGTCTCATGTTTTCACATCTCATGTTTCTAGTCCTCTCACATTTGGCAAAATGACCTGGATAATGCGGCCCATCATGTGACTTTTGTGTGAATTCATCTCTCCTCCCCCCTGCTGATTCCTCTGGCAATGGCCACATTTACAAATGAAGGGATGCTTATTGGAGCTATCAGAGTCATCAGTGTGGACGTGTGGACTAAAAAGGGTCTGTTGACCCTGCTTCAGGACTTCAGGGGTGATGTTGAAATTCTTGGGACTTCTATTGTTAAGACCCTCAGTAGAGCTGACTCTGTGCTATGGCCAGACCTGAACCCTGACTGGAAAACCTCAAACAGATCAGAGTCAGCTAATGTGAGACCAGCTGCTGATAAACGACTTTCTCAAGCAGTTTTGATGTAAAAGGTAGAGATAGGCCTGTAGTTTTCTATCACAGAGACATCAGCACCAGGTTTCTTCAGGGTCGGCTGAACAACTGCTGCTTTCAATGCTGCTGGGACCACACCTGTGCTGAGGCTCCCATTGATAATCTGACCAAGTGAAGGGCCAAGACAGAAAAGGCAGCCTTCCAGAGACGAGGCGGCATAACGTCAAGTGGAGAGCCAGATGGCTTCTGCCTTGCAACGAGCTTACTCAGAATAAGAAACGGTATTGAGGGAGCTCAGGGTGGGTGGTGATGGAGGAACTGGAACAGGGTCAACAGTTACCAGAAATAGCTGCTCTAATGCCCGACACTTTATGAACAAAGAATCTGTGAAAATCTTCAGAGTTTCCAGCAGCTGTAGGAGACATGGAGCTAGGCTCCTGATACACCAGAACAGAGTTCAGTGTTTTGTAGAGAATCTTGGGATTCTTGGAGTTTGTTTCAATGATGTCTGCAAAATAGGCCATTCTGGCAGCCCTCACTGCATCCTGATAAGCAACCAGATATGCTCTGAACAACTCACGCGAGACCTGTAGGCCATCCTTTTTCCACTTTCTCTCAGAGAATCTACACGCCCGCCTACAAGCCCGTGTGACATCAGAGAGCCAAGGCTCCCTCCTAGGTCTAGACTTGCAAAGCTTGAGAGGGGCAACCACGTCCAGGACCTGATTACAAAGTACATCAAAGTGTTGTGAATAGTGATCAATGTTAGATGGATCTGGGTTAAAGGTCTCTAACCTTACAGACATACAGTCCACAAACTTTGCAACAGTTTCTGCATCCAGGGCTCTGAACCTAGTAGCTGGAGCTTCACACACAGGGACAGGACATGGCAACGTAACATCACAGAGTATAGGAGAGTGGTCAGAGAACACAGGAGGCAAAGTCACAAGGTTCATGAGAGATAACCAGGTCCAGGGTGTGACCCCTGGCATGAGTTGGGGACGATACCCATTGAGTTAAATTGAATGAATCTAGCAGAAACACAATTCATTCTCACTCCCTGGCTTTGTAGAGTTTAACAAGTGATTTGCCAAAAAGTTTGATTGATCAGCGTTTGGCTGCTGCACACCAGTTAACCTAGCTGTGATCATGAGGCCCACATGTTGGCAAGGCGGCTAACTTTTACAGGAGTCTTGGAGTGAGATTTTCTTTTTTGCTCATCTAAAAGGTTCATCTAAAACGGGTCTGGTTGCGCTGTAGCTACGGGGAGTGTGTCCAGTAGCAATGCCAATATGTTGGGCAGACTAGCTTTTTTTCATCGTGAGAAATTGGGGTGTGGCGTCACGTGAAAGCGCACGAAGTCAGCCCTGAGTTAGTTATATTAAAATTAAAGAATGAAGTTGACTTGAATTATCGGTGTGACGTTTACTTTCAAATTAATTAAATATGTTTATTTTAGTTTTTTTCAGATTTTAAATATAGACCCTTTTACTGTTTGTAAACAATATGATGTCAGCGAGAATGCGCACGCAGCTTGTTAACAGGCTTGTTTCAGGCTTTATCAAGCTACGCTGCGGGGTTATCACTGGCAAATCTTGAATGTTATATTATTAAACTCACTTTAACGAATGGCAACAGACTCCCGGATCCCTGTGGCATTACGGAATGGGTGGAAGATGTAGGTGTGTGGCCAGATATCCAGTGGCCCGGTATATATACGTTTTTAGTGGAGAGGCCCAGTAAGTACACACGTGAGAAGCTACGGGCATACAAATGGTTAGATGCATACAACTATGTTGTCTGTGGCCACGCACAGAAAGTAAAATATCACCACATAGACTCTGAGTTTTGCGTCTTGAAGGCAGAAGTCCTTCCTAGCCAAAGACAAGGACACGAGACTGCTACGTACGAGGCTTGGGTCATAGTAAACAAACCAGAGAACTACGTCTTCACAGCCAACTGTACCTGCATGGCAGGGTGAGTATAGCATAGGTTTCTTTTTTTAGCGTGCTCAGAGTACAATCGTGTTAATTTTAGAGAAATACAGTTTATACTAATATGCAGTGGGAAAATACAGATGAATTAGAATGAAATGTTAATTGAATGAAATGAAGCGTATAAATTTAATTCTGTCATTTTGATGTTCCTGACTTGGGTCATGCTGCAGCAATTTTATTCAAAGTTGAGCTTTGTGTTAGGATGGGAAAAACAGAAAAGGCTGCAGTTACATCTCAGGCATGTGCATGGAAAGACCTGAGCAGGAAAAATGTAGAACTTCGGAATTCTGTAAAGTTTCAGTCCACTGCTTGAAGAGGAGCGATTCTGGCATCCATACACGCAACAACCCGACATTTTTATGTGCTCAGAACTTCAAAACAAAGGGTTTAAAAGGCTGTTTTAGTATCGAGTGTGAATGAGGAAGCCTTCACTCTCGTTGCCAGGCTGCGCGCGCAACTTTTGATGACGAAGGTAGTAAAAGGGTCTATTGTTTGCGTGGTAAGAAAAAAGTAATTAAGTTTGCGCATGCGCATATGACAACGGCGGTCATTTCGTCGGGCTAGACTCCACGTGAAGAACACGACATTAGTAAGTTTATATCGACTTTATTTCATGACTTTTCCTGTTTTGCAGTAGCGTTAACGTTTAATAATGTCATTGCTTTTTACAATTATTCTAACGAAGAGGGACATAAGTTATTTTGTTCAAGACGCCGTGCTGTCTGCAGGTGAGGTGAGGCTATGCTAGGCCGCAGCTGCGGGTGGAGACACTTAAAAAACGTTACGTCCTGTTTGTACTTCTGAACGACTTAACTAACCGCAGGAAACAAGAATAAGTGGTGAAATAAGTTTAAATAGGTTTATTCACGTTGGGCGTCCCCAAGTCGAGTTGAGGTGCGTTCACGCTTCGTTCAATAAGTTCAAATGTGATTGTTCTTTTTTATTCAAGACAATAAAACGGCAATAGTAACACAATAAGCGAGGGATGTTTGAGTGGTGCTGTCGGAGCAGGCGAGGTGGTAAATACGTCTTCGTCATAAATATTATTTAGAACTTATTTTAACGGCAGAATCCTTGTTTTTGTTGTTTTTATTCGTTTAACGAGGTCCACCCAAACTAACCATGTTTCTTTTCCCTAACTCGCTCATAAATGAAGTTACAGTACAGTTTTATTCCATTTCAAAGATTGCGTCAGAATACAGTTCACATGTTAAACGTCTGAGTCTTAACTTAAAATAAATGTGAAGAAAGTGAATCGCTTTTGACTTTCGTTTGTTTCTTATTGGACCAAAGTGTACCGCGTGACCCGGAAGCAAAGCCGCGTTTTGTAACTTCATTATTTTTTCCGCAGTTTACATCAACAACACACTGGATCGTGTAACGCTGTTAAAACGGCATTTACGCGGTTTCGTTATGAGTTTAAATGTAATGATGTATTTTTAACCGTGAGTTAGAATGACAATGAGCGGAATGACGTCCTGTCCTCAGACCAATTGTGTTATCGCTTCTCGGCCTTTTGGCTAAGATCAAGTGTAGTATCTGTTCTTATCAGTTTAATATCTGATACGTCCCCTATCCGGGGACCATATATTAAATTGATTTTTGGAGCAGGGAGATGGAATAGGGGCTTGCTCCGTCCACTCCACGCATCGACCTGGTATTGCAGTACCTCCAGGAACGGTGCACCCCCACTCTATGTTAAAAAATTAAATATCAGTTACTTTACAGTGAGATTACCAATCCAGCACCAAGTATAACATATTCTGGGCTTTTCATGTTCTCTGCTGTGTGTCTGAGTCTGATTCACCCTCTTCCCCGCCCCTACTGCTCTGTGTGTGGACAGTCTGGAGCTTTGATTCAACTGTTAACATCTGCAGTTTGTTTTTCTCTCAGCTAGAGGTCGACAGAGTTGTTTCTACAGCCTGTAGTAAAGTTAGAGCTTCTTTTTGTTTGATTTTTATGGAGATGTTTTCATATTAGCCACTTGTTAGATATTCAGACATTATTTTAAAGTCTTGTTTTACTCTCTTGCAGATTTAAACCCCTCTAAGAACCAACCAGGACTGTTCCCACTACTGGCCAGCAGGTGGCAGCAGCAGACCGTGCAGAGAACCAGGAAGTAGCATCAACGCTAGCAGAGAAGCTGATCTGAGGTTGGTTTTGTATTATTTTCTCTACATTTCTGATGTGAACCACAGAGTTTAACGTTGCTGTGACTCCGCCTTGTTTCATCTGAACACCGTGTGGTTGTTGGTCACTTCTGGTAGCGTATATATGGCTAACATGTGATACGTTTCTGTTAGCCTTTTGTGCACAAATGCAGCATTGCATTATGGGAATGATGAGATGAACTTTTAAAATAAAATGTTAATAAAGGTTGACAGTCTGGGTCAGCCTTTGTGTATCTGCTCCTTTTATATAATAAACCTGTAAAGCTGCTCCTTTTATTGTGTTTTCACTGGCACCAGGAGTCAGAGCAGCATGTGAGGGAAAGAGGTCCCCATGCGTGAGTTGAACAACTCATACTTACCTGGCAGGGGAGATACCATGATCAAGAAGGTGGTTCACCCAGGGTGAGGCTCAGCCATTGCACTCTGTGTTGTGCTGACCCCTGCGAATTCCCCAAATGTGGGAATCTCGACTGCATAATTTCTGGTAGTGGGGGACTGCGTTCGCGCTCTCCCCTGATGACTTGTACAAAAGAAATATTAACAAAATCAGCTATTCTAGTGCTAGGTTGCTGTTCAGATGGAGTTGATGAAACAATTTTTCGTGGCTTGCTGGTATTCTGGATTAACATCCTATAATCCAGCATAGGGCTGGGCGATATGGCAAAAATAGAATATCACGATTTTTCCAATATTTTATCGTGATTTTTTATCCATGAATAGCATAACTTCAATTGCATATTAAAGAAGAGAAACATTGAATAAATAAACATTTATTCCAATTAGGGATAATCAACTCAGTGCCAACACACTTATATTTTAAACACACCAGTGATGATAAAAGTCCTGAGAGAAACAATTAAAAAAATCAGTTTCTCGTTTTTCAAGTAACTTAACAAATTAAAATGGTAAACATTTAAAGTGCAAACATGTCAATTGCAAACATATTGTGCAAACATTAACTTGTTCAAAATACTGATGAACTAAACAGGCACACAAAAAGTTTCTTAATAAAATGGAACAGAGTTAACGTTGTGTAAGCATTTCTAACACTGGAGTAACGTTGTGAAGAAAATTATTCTTCCATCAATCCAAGCAAAACTAAAGCAAAACAAGTCACAGGTTTTTAGCCAGGAAGATGAGTTTGTCCACCTTGTCTGGTTTAAGGGCTGCCCTTTGGCATGTGACAATATTGCCACCAGTGCTAAACACTCGCTCAGAGGGAGAACTTGTTGCAGGGATGCAAAGATACTTCTGAGCAAGCTGACTCACTTTTGGAAAAAAGACCTCATGGGCCTTCCACCATTCAAGTGGATTCATTTCACTATCCACATTGGGTGTGGACAAGTAGGCCTGCAGTTCCTTTTCAATCAGTTCTCTCAGTGTGGGTTCTTCAGTGGATGTTGAGGGAACTGCTGCAGTTTTGAAAAAGCAGGCCAAAGACTTTCTTGCTTTCTTTGCTGGCTGTGCTTCAGGGCTTTGGCTTTGTGATGTAGAGGAGGTAGAGGGCACCGGGTGCTCTGATTCAGGAGTCAGCAGAGACTCCAGCTCAGCCACAGCTCTGCTCAGCCTCTGCTCTTTCTTTGTGGTGTGTATGTACTGGGTTTTAAATCTGTGATCGACAAGAGATGCCATGTCTAACAGAGCATCAGTGACAGGATCCTGGTACTTTTCTGTGAGGTAGTTGACTATGGATGTTTTTATCTGTGCTGTCAGCTCTGTGTCATCGTCCTCTGGTTTCAGAAGATTGTTATGTAGCAGATACAGGACAGGCTTCACATAGGAGGCACTGACGTAATCCTCCCCAGAAAGTGCATCAGTGAAGTCTCGGAGTGGTCCTAGGGCTTTCTTAATAGAGTCCACGACATCAAGGTCTTGCCAGGTGGGAGCCACATGTTTTGTTTTCTTGTCGGACTTGAGGACATGAGAGATGGCCTTCTCCTGCTGAAGTATTCTCTCAATCATTGCTAATCTGGAACCCCATCGAGTTGGTGATTCTGTTTTCAGCTTCTGCTGGGGTAGATTCATGCTTGCTTGGGCATTCGTGAGAGCTCGTTTCTTTTTCCAACTAAGGGAAAACGTGCTGACCACTTTCTTGCAAACTGAGGTTGCTCTTTCAATCGGGGGATCTCTGGAACCATTTTCTGAAACAAATAATTTAAAAAAATAAACGTGTTCAGACAACTATTTGAAAACAGTTTATAACACAAATGTTGAGTTTATTTTTTACACATTTACACTTTAAAATTGTGAGAAAAAAATATTGTTAATAACGATGATTATTTAAAACTGATTATTTACTAATAAACCCACCTATTGCAAGATGTAATCTGTGGCCAAAGCATGGCAGTCGTGTCCAGCCATTCAGGTCCAGGGCCTTCACCATGTTAGATCCACTGTCTGTTGTCATGCAGGTCATGTTTTCCTCTTTAAGGCCCCACGTTTCAAGAGCCTCTCTCAGACCCGCTGCGATGTGCTCTCCTGTGTGGTCTTCTGGAAAGTAGGTTGTTTGCAGTGTTGCACTATGTAGCTCCCAGTTGCTCATGTAGTGGATGGTTAAGCTCAAGTACGGCTCTGATGTGCGGCTGGACCACAGATCGCTTGTGGTAGCAAAAAACTGCACATTCTGAATATTTTCTGCAACTCTCACTTTGCATTCAGTGTACATGCGTGGAATGGCGGTGTTCGAAAAATACTTGCGGCTGCAAAACTCGTAGCGCAAATCCAATGTTTTAATCATTTTCTTAAATCTCACTCCTTCTACTGTTCGCACGGGACACAAATCTTTAACCAAGTGGTACGTCACTGCATCTGTCACGCTGTTCCATCGTCTGCTGTCTCTGTTGTAGGGAGTGAGTTTTGTGTGTTTATGTTAGCGTTTGCTGCCTGGAAGAAGCGCTAGCCGCTGCAGCCGCAGGCTTTTTAGCTTTAGCTGCCAGCTGGCTCTCGTTGTATTGTTTGGGATGCCTTCTTTTTAAGTGATTAAACAAGTTTGTGGTGTTGCCATCACTTGCCTTGACGCTCTCCTTGCAAATGACGTTTCGTTGCTCTTTGTCATCTGGTGAAAAACCAAACCAGTTCCATATAACGGACGAGGCGTTCCTCTTCGGAACGAAAACCTCGTTGTCGCTCTCAGCCGCGGCCGAAGCCATGTTTGTTCACACACAGGTGAAAACAAGCGGGGCACTAATATATTACTACGACTCACTCTGATTGGTTAGGGGTCAAACAAAGGCGTGTCATTCGCCTGGGGTAAGTTTCCTTTTCATTCAGAGGCAGAAATTCAACAGCAGAGCGGTGAATCGTGATAAAACGGTCTCTCAAAAATGACAGACCGTCAGATGTGTAGATCATAAAACGTTCTAAAATCGTCATATCGCCCAGCCCTAATCCAGCATCAAATATAACATATTCTGGGTTTTTCAGCAGGACAAGTTCATATTGAATCAAGCTGTCACTTTATTTCCCTTCATCAGATGTTGAGCATCATCATTTATAGCAGGGGTACACAAATACTATTTAAAAAGGTCCAGTCAGAAAGAATATTTTTAGGCCAAGGTCCGAAAGACCATAATGTCCGACCTACAATAGTGTGACATGTATTTAAGTATCCTAGCAGTTTTAGCAACATCTGCATTATTAATTTGCATATCAAATCAGAAATACTTCAGTGTAATTCAAATACTTTTGACACTTAAAGTGTTGAACATGTAAATGATTTCTTATTTGGAATGTTCTCTCATTTACTAAATAAAAGTAGAAAAAAATGTCAACAAGAAAATAAGACATGGCAACTGAATCGTCACAAACTACTAACTTCAGAATACAATAAATGTAGAAAAAGCTTAATTTTTACATTTTTCCTCTTCACGTGCGAACTAAAAAGTCTTAAAACGATTTTAAAAAATGTGACTCTGCACACATGTAATAACTGAACATATATTTAGGTTCATGTTTTCCACATTTTTACTTGGTGAGAGAAGTGAGCTCTTGCTTGTCCTGCCAACATTTTGAACCTGGGCTTGAATGGAGACAGAGCCATCCTCATGCATGTGTGGAGATGCTCACTGGTGAGTAGGGATGGGTACCGAATTCGGTACTTTTTAAGGTACCGACCGAATTCCACAGTACCGACCGAGCACCGATTCACGTCATTTCAAACGGTGCCTCGTTTCGGTACCCGTCCATCATAACGAGAGCTTGCCAAGAAGCTGCGCATGCGCAAGAGCGTTTTGTCGTCGCTCCCTGCGAGCCAGTTGTAAACAGAGCAGCATGGTAGAGAGAACGCAGGCTAAAGCTTGGGTCCACTTCACTAAATGTGATGGGTAACTGGATGATGAAACCAGCGACAACTATCTAAGTGAGACATCCTCATCTTAATCTGCTCCGGTAGGTAAATATAATTCGCTTGATATGTTAGCTTCCGTTTCGCTAATGGTGCGTTCGCGTTCTCCTCGGAACTCCGAAATTCCGACTAGAACAACATGAACGCGCTCTAAAGTTTGGCTTCACTTTACTAAATGTGACGGGTGAAGACGAAACCAGTGACGATCTAAGTGTGAGGCATCGTTTTAATCTGCTCCAGCAGCTAAATAAACTGTTTAAGATATCGTTAGCTTGATATGTTAGCTTCCATTGCTACCATTGTTATAAGCTAATGGTGCGTTCGCTTTCTCCTCGGAAATTCTAACTTCCCAGTAGGAAAAATCAAATGAAAAAAGACGGCAAAAGGAATGAAGATACACAGTAAATTTAGTTCACAGTAAAGATGTTTGCTTCAGTTTAATTATCAGCTTATAAAACTACAAGGGCAATGTTAAAATACAAACAGTTGTATGTTATTTATCGTGATATTTATCAAATATTGTTATATATTGAGAAAAATATATATTTAATTTTAAAAGAGAATTAAAATAAAAAACACTCAAAAGTATCGAAAATTGGTACCGTTAAGTACCGGTATCGATTCGTAGGTACCGGTAATTAGTACCGGATCGATTCAAATGTCAAAGGTACCCATCCCTACTGGTGAGGCTAGAACGATATTTGTTTTTTATAATGTTCATTGTGGAGAACGCTGCCTCACAGTTGTGGTGGAACCAAACATGGTCAGAATGTACAGGGCTACTTTCTTTAGACGTGAGAAAGCTGTCTCAGGAACCATTTGGAGCCAGAATGAGGACGGGTCAGTCCTGGCAGACAGTTCTTTCATGGCCAAGTTTGCTTGGAGGTCAACTAACTCCATCTGAAGATCCCTGGCATTTACCCATTTAAAATGCTGTATGGGGTACTCTGAGACACTTAAAAAAACTTTATGTCCCGTTTTTACTTCTGAATGACTTAACTAACCGCAGGAAACAAGAATAAGTGGTGAAATAAGTTTAAATAGGTTTATTCACGTAGGGCGTCCCCAATTCGAGTTGAGGTGCGTTCACGCTTCGTTCAATAGTGTAAGTTTAAATGTGATTGTTCTTTTTTATTCAAGACAGTAAAACGGCAATAGTAACACAATAAGCGAGGGATGTTTGAGTGGTGCTGTCGGAGCAGGCGAGGTGGTGAATACGTCTTCGTCATAAATATTATTTAGAACTTATTTTAACGGCAGAATCTTTGTTTTTGTTGTTTTTATTCGTTTAACGAGGTCCACCCAAACTAACCATGTTTCTTTTCCCTAACTCGCTCATAAATGAAGTTACAGTACAGTTTTATTCCATTTCAAAGATTGCGTCAGAATACAGTTCACATGTTAAACGTCTGAGTCTTAACTTAAAATAAATGTGAAGAAAGTGAATCGCTTTTGACTTTCGTTTGTTTCTTATTGGACCAAAGTGTACCGCGTGACCCGGAAGCAAAGCCGCGGTTTGTAACTTCATTATTTTTTTCCGCAGTTTACATCAACAACACACTGGATCGTGTAACGCTGTTAAAACGGCATTTACGCGGTTTCGTTATGAGTTTAAATGTAATGATGTATTTTTAACCGTGAGTCAGAATGACAATGAGCGGAATGACGTCCTGTCCTCAGTAGGGATGGGTACCGGTACTCGGTTCTTTAATAGCACCGGTTCTGACATAAACGGTAGTAACCAGACTGAAAAGCAACGCAGATTTTGGTGCTTCATTTCGGAGATGTCAATCATCTTGGACTCGAGACGTAGCCACTCATTTTACTTTTCCGGTGATAGTAGGCGGGCCCAGCCAAGTGCGTATTTAATTAGAGCGGACCTACATTATTTATCTAAATGCCAAAGGCGAAGCGGTCGAAAGCGTGGCTGTACTTCACAGCAAAAGATGCAGACTCAGCAACCTGCAACAGGTGCTTCAAGGTGATACTCAGTAAAGGAGGTAACACCTCTAATTTAATGAAACACCTGGTGACGCATAGCATTTTTTTAAAAGCCGAGACATGCACCGTGTTTGATAGCTTGCAACAGCGAAACCTCCCACTGAACGCATCTACTGTCGGTTTTGGAGATAGCTTTAGCAACATTCCCCCAGAAGAACCTGGAGAGGAGGAGAATCGTCCTGGCCCCAGCCGAGCCCCTCCCGCTGTAGCAGAAAAGTTGACAGAGGATGGCGGCAGCAGCAGCCGCTCTTCTTTGGGTAAGTAGCTTAAAGTAGTTTATGTGTATTATACGTTGAGCACACATTATTAAATGAATGCGTGTAGGGTGAGCTAGCAAACACAATTTTAGCTACATGCTGCGTTCTTTTTGGCAGAGACTCCCTTCACGCTGGCCAAGAGGTCTAAATTGACCAAAGAAAAAGTGGAGGAAATACACAGGGCAGTGACGACGTTTGTAGTCAAAGATCTCCAACCATTCTCAACGGTGGAGTCACCATCATTTAGGTAAAAATGTTGCATTGCTCTGATATAAAAATAGTTTTGTTCATAGCTGTTTAGCTTTGCAAGTGCTCTGTTAATAATTGGTACAAATAAAGGGTGGGTTACATGTTTTTATTTAGTCTTTTTTTATCTGTTTGGAAAAATAACTACATTTCAATTTAAATTCAAATTTATTTGTTTCTATTCAGGGAGATGTGCACTGCCCTTAATCCGAGGTATCAGCCCCCATCCAGAGACGACCTGTCCAACACACTTATACCTGCATGGTATTCTGTTGAAAAAAGCAACCTCATCCAGAAGTTGGCTCAGGTTAACAAGGTAGCAATCACCTGTGATGGATGGACTAGTGTTGCTCAGGACCATTTCCTCACAGTCACGGTTCATTACATCTACAAAGGCAGGATGATGCAGAATGTGCTAAGCGCTGAAGCAGTTTATGAGTCACAAACAGGTCTGGTAGTGGCTAAAGAAATATCAAGCGTTGTGGAGCAGTTTAACTTAGGACAGAAAGTAATTGCTGCCACTGTAGACAATGCCAGCAACATGGATGTTGCTTTGAAAAACTTGAACTTTTTGAAAGTGGGATGCTTTGCCCATACCCTAAACCTAGCAGCACAAAAGGTGTATGACATTCCTGCAGTTTCCAGCTGGTGTGCCAAAATCCGCTCAGTTGTGGTGTGGCTCAAGCGTTCATCCTTGAGCAAAACTGTGCTCAGAGAAAAGCAGCGACTCCTGAGTAAGTAGCATATGCAGTTACACATGTAAATGTATTGTTAATCATATTACCTTTTTTACAGTAATTCAAAATACATTTGTGTCTGTCTGTGCTTTAGATTTGCCAGAGCATAATGTCATTCTTGACGTTAAAACGCGCTGGAACTCTCTCTTCCTGATGGTGGAGAGATTTATTGAGCAGTTTGATGCAATCCAGGCAGCTGTTCTGGATCAACGTCTGAGGAAGCCAATGGAGAAGGATAAGTGAGTTAATGACACCAGCATCACTTGTAAGTGCTAAATTATTTCATTTAGTCATTTACCTTAAACATTGTTAATAATTTTCCACAGGCTAGAAGGCTTCACGTGCACTGATCTAACGAAAGCAGAGATGTTTATTAAGTGCATGCAAGTCCTGTACACATCAACCATGTGTGTGTCAAGTGAGAAGTCGCCCACATGCAGCCAAATCATCCCCATCCTGATGAAGCTGGAGGCACATTTCAGGCAATCCGATGAAGACACCGTTTTCACCTCATCAATGAAAGAGAAAGTCTGGGGTAGTCTGCAGAACAGATATCAGGTATCTGCAGAACATATGAATACTAACAAATATAGGGGTAGCATTGCATTTAGGTATCAGCGTCTATAATATATACTTTCTTTAAAGGATGAAAACCTTCAGAAATTTCTGAAGGAGGCCACTCTGATGGACCCACGTTTTAAAGGCAAGCTAGATGAAGGTGAGGCAGCTGACATCTGGGACAGGTTGGAGATGGCAGCAGTTGCAAATGCCACAGCAGCAGTTGAACAGGTATTTTCTGCACAACATTGTCCTTCTGCATGATGTAGTTTCCATGTTGAAGGAATGTTTTTTTTTATTTGTGTATCCATAGCCTCCCATAGAGGACCCTCAAGCAGACAGGGTGATGGATGACGCCGAGATGAAGACAGAAAAATATGTAATTTCTGAGTTTTTCTAACCCAACCATGTAGTCCTACATTCTAAAAGGGATCTTTGTTGTTTTGACAATCTCACACTACTTATTTTTGTTTTCCAGCCAAGAACGGTCCAAAAGTCAGCCTTAGAAAAGCTGTTTGAGGATGAGGACAGACAACTTAAGGAGGATGCAGCCTCTCATACAGCGGGTAGAGTCCCTTCCATCACAGAGCAGGTACAAAAGGAACTTGACACATACAAAAGACTGCCAAGAATTCCCTCTGGACAAGACCCTGTGGCCTGGTGGTGGAGTAAGAGGGATACACTGCCCAACTTATCTGCCCTATCCAATACATACTTGTGTGTCCCAGCCTCATCAACACCTTCTGAACGTGTTTTCTCTTGCGCTGGGCATGCCATCAGCCAAGAGCGATGCCGAATATTGCCAGAAAAAGCTAACATGGTGATTTTTTTGCAAAAAAATATCAAAAAATAAAATAAGAGGTTTTTGGAAAACTTGTGTATTTTTACATTCTTTAAGCACCGGTTCCGGCACCGTTTGAGCACCGGTACCATTTCAAAAGTACCGGTTTGGCACCGGTATCGGATAAAACCTAATCGATACCCATCCCTGTCCTCAGACCTTTTGTGGTATCGCTTCTCGGCCTTTTGGCTAAGATCAAGTGTAGTATCTGTTCTTATCAGTTTAATATCTGATACGTCCCCTATCTGGGGACCATATATTAAATTGATTTTTGGAGCATGGAGATGGAATAGGGGCTTGCTCCGTCCACTCCACGCATCGACCTGGTATTGCAGTACCTCCAGGAACGGTGCACCCCCACTCTATGTAAAAAAGAACAAATATCAGTGAGTTTACATTGAGAATCCCGGGGGTGATGTAACAGTTCCTCGTGGCATGCTGGTATTCTGGATTAACATCCTATAATCCAGCATCAAGTATAACATATTCTGGGCTTTTCATGTTCTCTGCTGTGTGTCTGAGTCTGATTCACCCTCTTCCCCACCCCCTACTGCTCTTGTGTGTGGACAGTCTGGAGCTTTGATTCAACTGTTAACATCTGCAGTTTGTTTTTCTCTCAGCTAGAGGTCGACGGAGTTGTTTCTACAGCCTGTAGTAAAGTTAGAGCTTCTTTTTGTTTGATTTTTATGGAGATGTTTTCATATTAGCCACTTGTTAGATATTCAGACATTATTTTAAAGTCTTGTTTTACTCTCTTGCAGATTTAAATCCCTCTAAGAACCAACCAGGACTGTTCCCACTACTGGCCAGCAGGTGGCAGCAGCAGACCGTGCAGAGAAGCAGGAAGTAGCGTCATCGCTAGCAGAGAAGCTGATCTGAGGTTGGTTTTGTATTATTTTCTCTACATTTCTGATGTGAACCACAGAGTTTAACGTTGCTGTGACTCCGCCTTGTTTCATCTGAACACCGTGTGGTTGTTGGTCACTTCTGGTAGCGTGTATATGGCTAACATGTGATATGTTTCTGTTAGCCTTTTGTGCACAAGTGCAGCATTGCATTATGGGAATGATGAGATGAACTTTTAAAATAAAATGTTAATAAAGGTTGACAGTCTGGGTCAGCCTTTGTGTATCTGCTCCTTTTATATAATAAACCTGTAAAGCTGCTCCTTTTATTGTGTTTTCACTGGCACCAGGAGTCAGAGCAGCATGTGAGGGAAAGAGGTCCCCATGCGTGAGCTGAACAACTCATACTTACCTGGCAGGGGAGATACCATGATCAAGAAGGTGGTTCACCCAGGGTGAGGCTCAGCCATTGCACTCTGTGTTGTGCTGACCCCTGCGAATTCCCCAAATGTGGGAATCTCGACTGCATAATTTCTGGTAGTGGGGGACTGCGTTCGCGCTCTCCCCTGATGATGTGTATAAAAGAAAAGTTAACAAGACAGCTTTACTAACATTAGTTGATGTTCAGATGGAGTCGATGAAGCAGTTCCTCGTGGTTAGCTGTTATTCTGGATTAACATCCTATAATCCAGCACGAAATACAACTCATTCTGAGTTATTCAGCAGGGCAAGTTCATATTGAATCAAGCTGTCACTTTATTTCCCTTCATCAGATGTTGAGCGTTATCATTTATAGCAGGGGTACACAAATACTATTTAAAAAGGTCCAGTCAGAAAGAATATTTTTAGCCCAAGGTCTGAAAGACCATAATGTCCGACCTACAATAGTGTGACATGTATTTAAGTGTCCTAGTAGTTTTAGCAACATCTGCATTATTAATTTGCATCTCAAATCAGAAATACTTCAGTGTAATTCAAATACTTTTGACACTTAAAGTGTTGAACATGTAAATGATTTCTTATTTGGAATGTTCTCTCATTTACTAAATAAAAATAGAAAAAAATGTCAACAAGAAAATAAGACATGGCAACTGAATCTTCACAAACTACTAACTTCAGAATACAATAAATGTAGAAAAAGCTTAATTTTTACATTTTTCCTCTTCACGTGCGAACTAAAAAGTCTTAAAACGATTAAAAAAATGTGACTCTGCACACATGTAATAACTGAACATATATTTAGGTTCATGTTTTCCACATTTTTACTTGGTGAGAGAAGTGAGCTCTTGCTTGTCCTGCCAACATTTTGAACCTGGGCTTGAATGGAGACAGAGCCATCCTCATGCATGTGTGGAGATGCTCACTGGTGAGGTTAGAACGATATTTGTTTTTTATAATGTTCATTGTGGAGAACGCTGCCTCACAGTTGTGGTGGAACCAAACATGGTCAGAATGTACAGGGCTACTTTTTTAGACGTGAGAAAGCTGTCTCAGGAACCATTTGGAGCCAGAATGAGGACGGGTCAGTCCTGGCAGACAGTTCTTTCATGGCCAAGTTTGCTTGGAGGTCAACTAACTCCATCTGAAGATCCCTGGCATTTACCCACTTAAAATGCTGTGTGGCGTACTTTGAGACACTTAAAAAAACTTTATGTCCCGTTTTTACTTCTGAATGACTTAACTAACCGCAGGAAACAAGAATAAGTGGTGAAATAAGTTTAAATAGGTTTATTCACTAGGGCGTCCCCAATTCGAGTTGAGGTGCGTTCACGCTTCGTTCAATGTTGTAAGTTTAAATGTGATTGTTCTTTTTTATTCAAGACAATAAAACGGCAATAGTAACACAATAAGCGAGGGATGTTTGAGTGGTGCTGTCGGAGCAGGAGAGGTGGTAAATACGTCTTCGTCATAAATATTATTTAGAACTTATTTTAACGACAGAATCCTTGTTTTTGTTGTTTTTATTCGTTTAACGAGGTCCACCCAAACTAACCATGTTTCTTTTCCCTAACTCGCTCATAAATGAAGTTACAGTACAGTTTTATTCCATTTCAAAGATTGCGTCAGAATACAGTTCACATGTTAAACGTCTGAGTCTTAACTTAAAATAAATGTGAAGAAAGTGAATCGCTTTTGACTTTCGTTTGTTTCTTATTGGACCAAAGTGTACCGCGTGACCCGGAAGCAAAGCCGCGTTTTGTAACTTCATTATTTTTTCCGCAGTTTACATCAACAACACACTGGATCGTGTAACGCTGTTAAAACGTCATTTACGCGGTTTCGTTATGAGTTTAAATGTAATGATGTATTTTTAACCGTGAGTCAGAATGACAATGAGCGGAATGACGTCCTGTCCTCAGACCTTTTGTGGTATCGCTTCTCGGCCTTTTGGCTAAGATCAAGTGTAGTATCTGTTCTTATCAGTTTAATATCTGATACGTCCCCTATCCGGGGACCATATATTAAATTGATTTTTGGAGCAGGGAGATGGAATAGGGGCTTGCTCCGTCCACTCCACGCATCGACCTGGTAGGAGAGAGAATGTAAATGTTAAAAGTGTCAATAAATTTTGAAAAAAAAAAAAAAAAAAAATCTGTTCTTATCATTCTCTCTTCACCCATAGGTGAGAAAAAATAAAAAAAAGGGGGGGAACAAGAGGTATAACAAGGGTAGAAAGAAATGCAATGGCAATAATAAAACATCCTAAACATCAAATTTTGTCACAGTAGCCATCTCTCTGGTCCCATTGTCCCATCACTCCCTCCACAAGTCGCAGGCCGATGGGGGGTGGGGTCAGGGGAAGCGACCCCACTGCACTCCTGGTCTCCGCCACCTCCTTTCCCCTTTTTCTTCACCTGCCTCAGCAGATGGGGAGGGCCTCTGGCCTCTTTTGCCAGTCTCCCTTTCATCGTCAGGCCGCTGCTGCCCTAATCTTTTTTCTCTGGACTCCAGCTCCTTCCTCCGTTGGGTGCATGCGATTCTTCTTTGCGGCTGTGTTCTTGGCAGGCCGCCCTCTGACATTTTATTCTCCACTTGTCAGCTGCCATTCGAACGACAGCCGCGGGGGGGATCTGCATACGCCTCCTTACCCACAAGTTTCTGGAGGTCCATATGGCGTCTTTAAGGGCGGCTAAGGTGTGCCATTGGTCCAGACTTAGCTTTGCTGTCTTGCCAGTCTTGGGACACACACCGTACAGCACAGTCTGTGCCGTTAAGAACTCCCTTGCGGGTAAGTACGGGAATTTTAAGGAGCTGGCCGTTGTCCATAGATCCTGGGCAGCGCTGCACTCCCAGAGGAGGTGCCGTACCGACTCCGGTGCGCCACATCCGGGCCGGGGGCATACCGCCGTGGGTGCCATTCCTCTGGTATGCATCACGGCTCTGACTGGGAGAATACCATGTGCCGTCAACCATGATATGTCCTTTAGGCGGTTTGGCATTCCAGGGCGGATGATATTTTTCCAAACCTCCTCCGCCTCCTCCCCCATCAGCCCTGCGACCAGGACTGGTATATCTCGTGCCTGTACAACAGAGATCATTAGACGTTTACTTGATAAAATTTTCTCATTTTCGTTTTCTAACTTAAAATCGTTTAAGAACACCTGAATTTTCTTGTATGCACGTGGCATAATTAGAGCCATCGGTACTCTCAAATCTCTTTCTTTCATTTTCAGTTTTTGCAAGTAAAAGCCCATCCAATATTTTATCATTGCCATGTACTTTTCATTCTCTCCTTTTCCTAGTATCTGTCTCATATGTGTTGCAGTGTAATGTGCTCCCAGGGAGAGATATATATCTGGTACGTCTCTTCCCCCTTTTTTTATCGGCTTCTTCATTTCTGTTCTTCTTATCCTCTCCCATTTGGCTCCCCACACGAATCGCATGGTCAGCCTCTCCAGTTCGCCAATCGTTTTCCTGGAAGGGAAGAACACACTTGCTGCCAACTGGAGCAAGGGGATGATTACCTTCTTTATCACCAGAACCTTTCCTTCTATGGTCAACTCCCTCTGTTGCCATAGTCCTACTTTTTGTCGTACCTTTTTCAGAACAGCATTCCATGTCTCTGTCCCTTTTCCTTCTTCATCAAACCTTACCCCTAATATCTTTTGTCCCCCTTCCTTTACCTCTGTCTCTGTTTTATACTTACAACTCCCTTCTTCTGGTGTTTCACCATACCATCTCACCTGTGTTTTCTTCTTGTTTAGCTTTGCACCTGATGCCCTTCCGTATTTCTCTGTAACCATAAACATTTTTTCCAAAGACCTTTCGTTCATACACACCACATTTACATCGTCCATATACAATACACATTTCAGCTGTTGTCCTTTACTCCCTGGTATGTCTTGTCCTACAATATCTTTGTTTTCTCTGATCATTTGTGCCAGGGGTTCTATACAGATCACATATAGGATTGCTGATAGAGGACACCCTTGCCTCACCCCTGACCTTATCTTTATTTCTTTTGTCAGGTCCCCATTTATGATACACTTACTTTTTATACTTTGGTACAATACTTTTATCCACTCTATACATCTTTCCGGGCAGCCTACTTTTTTTAACATTTTGAACATAAAAGTATGTGATATCCTATCAAAGGCCTTTTCAAAATCTAAATTTACCAACATCATGCGCGTCTTTCTTTCCCTTGCTAACTCTATATTATCCCTTATCATTATTAGTCCATCTGTAAGTCTTCGACCTTCTACTGCACATAGCTGGTCGGAGTGTATTATCTGGTCCAAGCCCATCTTCAGTCTTGTTGCTATACATCTGCTGAATAATTTCACGTCTGTATTCAGCAGTGTAATGGGCCTCCAATTCTTTAAATCTGTTTTGCCATTTCCCTTATAAATCAATGTTATTAGCCCACATTTAAAACTCTCAGG